TGATGCTAATTGTTAACCAATTTATAGGAATTTAGAAAATGGTTATTCCATTCACAACGTGTTATGAATTTCGTGCAAACACGCCATTTTCGAGACAGCGTTTTTCATGATGTGCACCTGAACATGTTTGTGGGGAAATTCGAAAATTACAGCGAATCGTGTCAGTATATTGTTCAGCTCTATGACAGCCTTAACAGCGTCATTTACCGCGAGCCCAGTTTAACAGCGACACACCAAGGTATCCCAGAGTTCCCTCCATGACGGCGACTTCAGCAGTATGTAGCCTAGCGTCTGATGGTATCTACCCCTAAGTGGTATCCGCTGATCAGATATCGATCTATCGATCAGGTGACGGCAATGGATCTCCAAAGCCATAAACTGTTTGAATGAACTCGCAGTACTCACTGATCACATTATCTGACGTTCCCCTCTGTTTCTCCTACCACAATAGATAGTCATGGGAAGGTTTGCTGGTTGTTGACCAAGGTGCACTGTATAATTGTATTTATCTCCGAGCATTTGGTTCAGGCGACGCTACCTTTGGTGATATAGATCTAAATGGAGGGGTAAAGTTTATATTTTGTATCAGTATATTTGAAACACACAACGTAACGTCGCCTGAATCAAATGCTCGAAGATAAAGACAGTTATACAGCTATACCGAGTCCTTATACAACTGGCGGTATGAATATTGGTGATACCCGACGTCATAATGGCCATGACGTTGTATACGAATGTAGCGTGCCAGTGTGACGTGAAGTTCGGTGCTGTATAAGTGGCCTTATTGTTCATTGAAAATTGACAAGAACGGTTGTAAAAGTCAATCGTGGCTATTCAGTTTTGATATAGTTGATACCTGTAGACACGAGGGTGACTTTCTATTTATCATCAAAAATCACTCTTCTCTAGTTTTAAGTGATAAAGGTACATCTCCGAACACTGAACTAAGTTTAGACTTGTATTGCAGCCATGTCATAGCATTGTGACAATCATCATGTTCATGACGTCATAGCATTGTCAGGGCGTTGTACACAAAACACTCCTGTGGAACCCAGTTTTGAATGATATATCTTGATTAAGACCAGTGATGAAAAATCTTAACAAACATTGTATTTTTAAATGTTAATCACAAATGTTTCTTTTCCTGTCCATAATGTGCCATAGTGCCCCTCGCCCCTAATCAAGTCACACACACACTAGCGCGCACACACACGCGCTCACGCACGCACGCATGCACACACACCCACATACACGCACACACCAGTTGTAATTAGTATTTAGAAGTAGGAAGAACACAATACTTGTTTATGGATACAAGTTCATCATTGTTAGTCTCAAGGCATGAATAAGATGTTATCTATAACAAGTTGATGCTCACGTGTTTCATAATAAAGTACAGTATTAACTGGATACACGGAATCAGTAGGTTAGTTCACTAAACGAAACAACCTGTTCAATGGCCCTTATGAGACTTTAGCTGTGCCAAAAATGACGGCGATTGCCGTTAAGGGCAATAGCCTGGAATGACAAAATTTACATTACTCATGAAAACATTTACTATTACGGTTAGAAAATACTTTACAAATAAAAGAAGTGTCGATTGTAGAATTCTGACTATATCATGAGTATGTATTTGTTTGACGTCACATTCAACAGTATCTCAGCTGCACTGAGGCCCATGATATATAGTCAGAATTGTTCAGCGACTCTGCTGAAGCAGAGATTTTTCATAATGAGAAAATGACTTTGTCGCGTTTATTTAACTCAACATTGGTGTGATACAACGCATATTTGTTCTCGCTGTTCTGAACAATATCTTATATATGAAATATCGGATGTTCATTGCTTTACTGGTTGTTGGTACAATACACTAGACGGTAGTACAGTGTGGACTTTGTGCTGGTGTATATACAAACACGCTACTGAACTCATACTTTTGACATTAAGCAGGAACGTGAATGAACGTGGTACAGTATGCAATAACATTGACGTGTTTATTGTAGAACGACGTTGGCAGGTGCTCCCACCCTGATGTCAATATTTGATCTGGTTGTTTCTATGTGAGCAATAGCCTGTGGGATTGTGCGTTGGTGTGTTGGTGTGTAATATAATGTACCTGTTGTGCGGTGTTGTGCACCAGCTGTGTGTTGTGTTCAGTTCCATTAGGTTTTGTCGAATATTTGGTTTATCAGACATCTGCACTGTTTTGTTGACGTGCAGGCCGATGAGAAAAAGCAGAGTAGGATACGGCTGTGTAACGTGAATAATGTTCAGGATGTCATTTTCATACGCAGAATATGCGGATCAATAGGTGGTGTGTTCTGTGTGTGATCAGTGTATAAGTCTGTTTCTGTGTGTATCTGTGTGTGTCCGTCGTGTGTGATCACTGTGCGAGTCTTTTCTGTGTGTATCTGTGTGTGTATCGGTGTGTGATCACTGTGTGAGTCTGTTTATGTGTGTATCTCTCTGTGTGGTCAGTGTGAGTGTTTCTGTGTGTATATGTGTGTGATCACTGTGTGGGTCTGTTTCTGTGTGTATCTCTGTTTGTCCGTTTGTGTGTGATCACCGCGTGAGCCTGTTTCTGTGTGTGTCTGTGTGTGTCTCGGTGTGTGATCAATGTGTGTGTCTGTTTCTGTATGTGTCTGTGTGTGTCTCGGTGTGTGATCAGTGTACGAGCCTGTTTCCATGTCTCTGTGTGTGTCCGTTTGTGTGTGATCACTGTGTGAGTATGTTTCTCTATGTCTCTGTGTGTGTCCGTGTGTATGTGTGATCAGTGTATGGGTCTGTTTCCGCGTGTCTGTGTGTGTGATCTCTGTGTCAGTCTATTTATGTGTGTATCTATGCGTGTCTCTGTGTCTATGTATGTCTATGTGTGTGTGATCAGTGCATGAGTCTGTTTCTGTGTGTCTGTGTGTGTCAGCGCGTGTGATCATTGTATGAATCTGCGTCTCTATGGAGGGTGGGGGTGCACATACCCATATGTATGTATGTGTGTGTGTGTGTGTGTGTGTGTGTGACTTGCGCGTGGGTCTGTTTACGTGTGTTTTCCATATGTGTGTCATCAGGATATTGGTCCATTGTGTCTGTCTGTGTGTACAGATCTGTCTGTATGCATGATCGTGTTGGTTGGGGTATATATGTTGGATCAGTGTATGGTCTGTCCCTGTATGTTTATGCGTCTGTATGCTGTCTGTGTGCGATCTACATGTATATGTGTATAGCTATTAATGTGTGCATGTGTGTGTTTGTTGTGGTTAGGAGGTTGGGACCCTGATTGGCTAGGGCAGGTGAATCTCACCAACACACCTTGACTAGCATGCTCAACAGTTATACTTGAATGTATGTATATGCTTATAATCATATTTTTCCTTCTCATGTCATAGTGTATCTTATCATTGTACATGGTTTTAACAGATAGTCTCACATAACTCCAAATGGAGTGGCTCATGTATTCTTTTTTGTATTTTATGCTGTATTATTTTATGTCAATGAGGTGATACTCTAATAAATAATCTGTCTGTGTGTCTGTTTGTCCGTAAAGGTTTTAATGATGTCTCATGTATTGAGGTAACACAACACCACAATGCCTTTGCGATCTGACTTGCAAAACAAACAACAACCTTCAACACATATACACGAGCTGAAAGTCCCAAATCCACCCTTATCTACAAATCGCTGTATTGGAGTTTTCTCTTGTAGTTATTGAGCTCCTTTAAGTAACTCGCCACCTCCATGTCCAAGTCACCCAACACCAAGTATTGGCCGGCCACTGAAGCGATTAGTTAGCCAGGGGCACAGTGTTTGTTACGTAATTCCCAGGGTGCTGCCTGACAGTCAAATGCCCATTGTCGTCGTTCTGTGCACACGGCATAAAACATGACATTATATTCGCTACAATTAACTGCTTCAATTGTGTTGGGAGTATTGATTCAACACGCAACATGGACCGTGTACAACATACCGTCCTGCTGGTCGGCGAGCCTCATGGTGTTATACTGTTGGGTGTAATGATCTAATGACTGGTGTTTGTTTAGCGTTACCCGGACACGGGATCCCAGTTTTACACGTCACCCTATCTTTATATCGCTCCGCGCGGCACAGGGCGACACTAATCGAGAAAAAAAGTAATAAGCTGGGTGAAAGGTTTCACAGACAGATAAACTGCGCCAATAGACAATACCGGTCGATAAGTCAACAGACGGGCTTATGTTGTTGGGACAGACAGGCCGCTCGGAGACATGCCGCGGTTATTGGAATAGTGAGTGAATATAGTGTTACGCCGCTATTATAGCATTAGTTCATCAGGATCACGGGGGCGGTCTGAAAGGGGTTCGGAAATCAACATTCTGTACTTTTAGGGTTTGTATTTTATGTATTACTTATTTTGCACTGCCCCCTTGATAGAGTAACACCTAACATAAGATGCAAACCTATATCTCAACTGGAACTTGGCTGTAGACACAGTTGTGTTAGAGCAATGCAATGAAGAGGCGACGTAATGAAATATCCAGAAATCGAAATTGACATCTTCGCGTTATGTTTCGATTCCAAAAGTGAATCAATACGTTAAATCAGAAAACAGAAGGAATTATTTTTGGGGTCTGATGTCAATGAAGTTTAAATATGATAGCTGTATGATAGAACTGACTATTTTTAAAGATTACTGCACAATATTTACAATGGGAGTACTCAACATTTTGGAAGTATACAGTATAAAGTCAGTGTTCGATGAACGTCTCGGCAGGGGACAACAGACATGGGCGTTACATATATTTCCGAAGAAATTAAGGAATCTAACCAAACACTTCCACATGAAGAGTAACAACTGTAACCGTGTGCGATTCCCAACCCCCGGAAACTGATTCCCACTAATGGTTGTATTTTAGAGAAATCGTGTCTCCTTTCACGGTCCGTACTTTGATTCGAACTGAAATGTTGTTGTTTGTTTAAAAATATTTTGTAAGAAACTTGTGAAGTCCATGTCTTTCTGTGTGTTTCAGGGAGATGAGGTAACTGTCTGGCAGTGACACATCACAACATCATGGCAGGCGACAAGCACGACCACCACGGGAAGAAGCCAGTGAAGGGTGGACGAGTCCAGGCAACGCATCACGGCCATCGCCGGAAACCCAGCGATTCCAGAACAAAGTCTACCAAGACAAGTAAACCCGAGACACAACAGAATCTAAAACCAAAGTCCCCTCAGATCGAAGTTCCCCCTGACAACGACGTCACCGTTGACAATGACGGTGATTCAAGGCAAGAGGAGCAGGTGTTTCAGAACGGAGAGGAACGAATTCTTCTTGCTCGCAACGATGAGAATGATAGAGACGATGACGTCATGTCGACGAGGAGCGCAGACGACACACCAACTTCCGGTATGAGCCGGACAGTGGAGGAGGAGACTGGACGCACGACCCCGTATCATCACCGGTATAATGAAAACTTTGACATCAAGTCATTCAACAGCAGCATCGGGGACTTCGTAGAGATGTTTTCCGAGCCCCGGTATCAGGAGGTGGATGCTGACTACCCCGTCGACGACCTGATCTCCGTCGTCTCCATGGTGTCTGCCAGCATCGAGGAGTTCAAGTCGTACACGTCTGACTCACAGCGGCAGCTGGAGGACCTGAGAGACAAGATGAGGACGGTGAAGGAAAACATTCACATGAGCGTCACCAGGCAGGCCTTCGAGATTAAGTCAGGTTAGTCCTTCCACCTCTTCCACTCTGCCATGGCAAGCATTATATTCTGCCTAACCGTAGTACTCTGCCTGGTACGTTATAGTCATGTTCTGCCTAACTGTAGTACTCTCTGAGTGTGTACGTCATTATCATTTTCTTAACATGTTAGTTTGACAAGGTACGTCATTATCATCTTCTGTTTAACTGTATTACTCCGTCGGGGTACGTCAGTATTATGTTCTGCCCAACTGTAGTACTCTGTCTGGATACGTCAGTAGCATGTTCCGCCGAACTGTTGTGCTCTGTTATTATCATGTTCGGCCTACCTCCAGTCCTCAGTGAGGCCATGCCAGTGGCATTGCTACTTAAGTCTCAGAATTTCAGATCAGTCTCATCTTTCGCCAAGTGCCAGCCGTCGGTTAGGTCAGGTAAGGGTTGATCCAACACGAACCTGAAATTGTCTGTCTGTTAGGTCAGGTAAGGGTTGATCCAACACGAACCTGAAATTGTCTGTCTGTTAGGTCAGGTAAGGGTTGATCCAACACGAACCTGAAATTGTCTGTCTGTTAGGCCAGGTAAGGGTTGATACAACACGAACCTGAAATTGTCTGTCTGTTAGGTCAGGTAAGGGTTGATCCAACACGAACCTGAAATTGTCTGTCTGTTAGGCCAGGTAAGGGTTGATCCAACACGAACCTGGAATTGTCTGTCTGCTAAAAACTGTGACATAAACTGAGGCAAACGGCCTCTCAAACCAAAGTCATGTAAATCTGCCTATCTCTTGGACTCTGGGAGGTCAGTTCCTAGGTCAGCCAAGCTGGTACTTTGTCATCTTATGTGAGTCTAATGTTGAAGTAAGTACTGTAAGAGGTACTTTGAAGCAGTGTGCAAACAACGTTAATAGTATCCATCTTGAGTGTTACTGGAGTGTTATTGAAGTGTTATTGAAGTACATATACTGCAGCATGTCACCGTGTATACTTCAGGAACAGTGCACGGTGCACCTGTATGGTTGTGGTTGGCTGTGTTCAGGGTGGGGTTTTATTCAATGAGTACAAGCAAACCGATCGGCTATTGATATGTTTCGTAAATATGCGTGACAAAACACTTTATAATCAGAGGAAATATCTGATGAAAGCTGCGTCCATTGTGCTGTTCCTAGTCATACGCATGTGTTTATGAATCACCATGAAATAGTTCAGGCTCTAGCGGGGCAACGTGACATGACACGACAACGACAACGACAACTCGACATGACGCTGTAGAAGAAACGTATACTATATCCATATCCAATATACCTATGTCTGTCTGTCTTTGTCTTCTGTCTGTCTGCCTGTGTCTCTGTATATTTGCTTGTGTTTCTGTCTGTTTGTGTCTCTGTATGTTTGCTTGTGTTTTCGTCTGTCTGTTTGTGTCTCTGTACGTCTGCTTGTGTTTGTGTCTGTTTGTGTCTCTGTATGTCTGCTTGTGTTTCTATATGTTTGTTTGTGTCTCTGTATGTCTACGTGTGTTTCTGTCTGTTTGTGTCTGTCTGTCTGCTCGTGTTTCTGTCTGTCTGTTTTTGTCTGTCCGTTTCTCCGTGTATCTGTCTGTATGTTTGTGTCTTCCTGTCTGTCTGCTTGTGTTTTTGTCTGTCTGTGTCTCTGTCTGCTTGTGTTTTTTGTCTGTCTGTTTGTGTCTGTCCGTCTGTCTGTGTATCTGTATGTCTGCAAGAGAGCGTCGCTTGCAATGTAAGTAAACTCGTATCCAACAATGATGACACCGGGTGTCTGAGAAAAAGCAAAGCTTTGTTACTTAACACGTGCAAATTTTCCAATCCAAGTATTCTCAATCTAGTTTCCTTTCCTTTCATATCACTATCTCCCCCCTTACACACACAACACGCGCTGTAGCTAGGTAATAAGTAAGATAATGGCGTGTATTGTCACCGGGCAGTACCCACTATCTACCTGTCTCCCACGGGTAGACAAAGATAGTAACAGAAAACACGGGGAGCTACTCGGTCAACACCTACAGCCATAGATCACACCCCACCCCCTTTCCGACGCCGTACTAAACTCTAAACAAATGGTTGTATTAAACGCCATTGAAAGGCATTTACTCCATCGATCGCCAGGGTAAGCTCCCTACATGGCGTTCGACAAATTCATTACCCCGAGAGCCCCGCGTGACCCGAACAAACAGAGATAAGAGTAATTTGTGATTTAATTTCTCTTTAGCGAGTTTGAATTACGACACGTCAAACAGGTTAACTTAGAAGCGTGCGCTGCACTCCTTCGGGACTGGCAAGTGACCGTGTACGGAGCCCAGTGACGGAAACTTCCGAGTGCTGGCCTCGCCATCTGTCTCATTGACCTCGGACTAAAAATTATTTGCAGTTGAGGAGGGAAAATATCGATGTCTAGTGAATGAATGCATGTAGAGCCATTCAACACTAACATCCAAGCCGCCGATTGTTCCATCAAGGTCCACACTTGGAAGACAATATCGTAGCTCAGTGGTTAAAGCGTTAGCACTTCACGCCGAATGTCCGTGTCCTATTCCCTAAATGGAGCGCGAAGCGTTTTCTAGTGCCCCCGCCATTATTATATTGCTCGAAGCGGCGTACACAGATACTCACTCATAGTTGAGTCCAGTATTTAGTGAATGTCAATCTCAAGCAAGACCACAAACCACACGTTGATTTGGGAGATAATTGGCTCGTCGTCAAAGTATAATGCCACAAGAAGTTACAGGTCTTACTGACTGACTGAGTTTGGTTTTACGCCGCTTTTAGCAGTATTCCAGCAATATCACGGCGGGGGACACCAGAAATGGGCTTCACTCATTGTACCCATGTGGGGATTCGAACCCGGGTCTTCGGCGTGACGAGCCAACGCTTTAACCACGAGGCTACCCCACCGCCCCTACAAGTCTTAGATAATAGAGACATAATATAAGACTGCAACACTAAAATATTACACTGCCACTTTGACAAAAGGCGTGGACAAGGAATGCATCTATCCTTCTTCTAACATTCTGATTAACGGGTCCTGATACCAATAAGGTATGCAAGTCAGCAGGAACAAAATTTCCCGCAATAGAATCAACAGGGAAACGTACTCCCTCATGGGAAATGTACTGCAAAATATCCCTTCTTTGATTGGCTTCTAGAAGTTTAGGAGATGAAGAATGAGGACAATTGTTATGGATATACAACTTCTTTATTCTGTATTGGCGACGTTTCGACACAAATGCTTAACAACGACATTAGAATCTATGTCGGAACGTCGCCTATACAGAATAAAGAAGTATATCCACACAAAAATGTCCTCATTCTTGCAAAAGATTGATGGAAAACAAACACAGTGAAGGTCGTACACAATTCCAGGAACATAAATCAGTGGTTATGGTGCGTTCTAACGTGATTATTACTGGGTCAGTATGATCAGTAGAAATTAAATATATGTAAATACAAAGCATAAGCCCTCGTTGCCGTGAGTAGAACCCACTCTACAGTCTCAGCTGAGAGAGTTGCATGTGTATTAAAATAAGAACCACGGCTTTATTCCTGATACATGTGTATATGGGTTTTCATAATTGTATGACGTCAGGCGTTGCTAGGCATTGCGTTATCACATGGGGTACCGCTGTTTGAATGCCACTTGGCATGGACAACGCTGTTAAAGGGAGTGATATTTAGTCTGACTCCCTATTACGTTATACTCTGTGAGCAAAATGGTCATGTGTATTGGTGTGTTACCAACATGCCCGTGCTATAAGTAGTAAACGTCTTGACATCTGTGTCGATTCAGGCATTCCTTCGATTTCAAGCTTACAGGGAATAACCCTGATAAGTACTGTTCAATGAGACATGAATCCCACCTCACTCACTCATACGTGCCTTGTGACAGTCGTAACACAACGACCTGAACATACTGGCTTGCTCTAGTCGTAACACATTGACTTGTGGTAGACGTAACCCACCGACTTGCGGTAGTCGTAAAAAACTGACTTGTGGTAGACGTCACGCAACGACTTGCGGTAGTCGTAAGGACATTGACTTGTGGTAGACGTAACACACCAACTTGCGGTAGTCGTAAACACATTGACTTGTGGTAGACGTAACCCACCGACTTGCGGTAGTCGTAAAAAACTGACTTGTGGTAGACGTCACGCAACGACTTGCGGTAATCGTAAGGACATTGACTTGTGGTAGACGTAACACACCGACTTGCGGTAGTCGTAAACACATTGACATGTGGTAGACGTAACACATTGACTAGCGGTAGTCGTAAAAAACTGACTTGTGGTAGACGTCACGCAACTACTTGCGGTAGTCGTAAGGAGATTGACTTGTGGTAGACGTAACACACCGACTTGCGGTTGTCGTAAACACATTGACTTGTGGTAGACAGAACGCACCGACTTGCGGTAGTCGTAAACACATTGACATGTGGTAGACGTAACCCAACGACTTGCGGTAGTCGTAAACACATTGACATGTGGTAGACGTAACACACCGACTTGCGGTAGTCGTAAACACATTGACTTGTGGTAGACATAACGCACCGACTTGCGGTAGTCGTAAACACATTGACTAGCGGTAGTCGTAAAAAACTGACTTGTGGTAGACGTCACGCAACTACTTGCGGTAGTCGTAAGGAGATTGACTTGTGGTAGACGTAACACACCGACTTGCGGTAGTCGTAAACACATTGACTTGTGGTAGACAGAACGCACCGACTTGCGGTAGTCGTAAACACATTGACTTGTGGTAGACGTAACCCACCGAGTTGCGGTATTCGTAATGCATTGACTTGTGGTAGACGTACCGCACCGACTTGCGGTAGTCGTAATGCATTGACGTCCGATAGCAGTAACCCCAAGTTTGCTCGTGGAAATGGCACTTGACCAATAGTAATGATAACGTATAGCATGATACGATCCTTTCAAGTACCTCCCTGACGGACAGACATTATAACCATCCGATACCCTTCACAACATATACAGTGGTTGCTATTGACTCTGTATTGCTAGTA